GGAAAGGCAGCAGGGCTGGTGGCATGGCAGACAGAACAGTTAGCAATGGTCATCAGAGGAGTGGGATCCAAAGGGAGTTCCCATGGGGCACTACACTCCGCTGAAAGGAATGCCATTTCACTCTTCAGTTTCCTTCTTTTTTTTTCTTTTTTACATTTTCCTTTTTAGAATTATTTCTCTTTCTTTCATTTTTCCTTTTTTAATTTATCTTTATCTGTTTTATTGATTTGTTATTATTCTAGTCTATATTATTGCATTCATATATTTAATTTTCCTTTTCCCTTTTCTTATACAATCTTTTCTTCTTTTTCTTTTCTTTTTTTCTTTTCATTTTACCCTCTTATGTCACTTTTTTTTTCTTATTTTGTTTCTATCTGTGTTCTCCTCTATTTTCCTTCTCAATTTTTTTTTAACTTTTACTTTTTTCCTACTATATTTTAAGCTATTTTCCTTCCCTATTGCCCTAATTTGTGTTTGTTTGTTTTTTTAATTCCCCTAATTCCTAATTCTTATTTTCTTTACTTCAGCTATGCACCTACACACTCCCCTCCCCTTTATTGTCTTTTTTGTTTGTTGGTTGATTTGCTATTTTTCTCCTTGTATCATTTCTTTCTTTTCTTCTGTAATTATTACTCTCTTTTTGTTGTATTCGATTTTGTCCTGTTCTTTCAGCACATCCACAACAGCTCGTTCGACACGGTCAGGGTTGAGCCACATAGTCAGCCAGCCTGAGAGGAGAGTCCTTCCACAAAGGGGACAATAACAGCAACAGCAGGAGATCGATCCCAAATAACTCAAACAAGAGGCTTTCTTAGAGCACCCAGCTCAGGCAATCTAAGAAACTGCATACTGTGTCCCACAAAACACCTCGTATATAAGATCACCCCCCAAAATCTGTGAGGCACAGCATTTTAATATAACACATAGAAACAAACACAAAAGGATAGCAAAAATAGAGAGAAAAAAGAACAATCCCCAAATGAAAAAGGAGAAATCACAAGAAAAGGAACTAAATAAAATGGAGGTAAGAATTTGTCAGATAAAGAAGTCAGAGTAATGGTAATAAGGGTGCTAAGCAATTCAGTGAGAACTACAGCAACTTAATGAGAATTATAAGAAAATTAATAAGCATATTAAGGGACTTCATGATAGATACACTGACATGAAAAGAGACTGAAAGAATAAATAAGTATCAATTGGAAACGAGGAACAACAAAGCTGAAATAAAGAATACTCTGGAAGGATTCAACAATAGAGTAGAAGAAGCCGAGGACTGAATCAGTGGAATAAAAGACAAGACAGAAAAAAAACCACTCAGAGCAGCAAATGGGAGGTGTGGGTTGTGGCGAAGGGAGAGATTAATCATGGAACTTATATGCATAGCCCGCAGGTACAGACAATAGTGTGGCAAAGGCTTGGGAGAGGCAGGTGCCAGGAGGAGGGGTCAATGGGGAAAACAAACAAATAAAAAACAAGCCAGACATCTGTAAAATACTTTCAACAATAAAGATAAATTTAAAAAAAGGAATCTAATGAACAAAAGGAACTGATGAATAAAATAGAATCAGAGGCTTGAAAACATGGAACAGACTGATGAATCTCAGAGGGAAGATGGAGTGGATGGGAAGAGATTAATCAAAGATCTTACATGCTTATATGCATTACCTATGGACACAGACAGTAGGGTGGTGAAGGCCTGGGGCAGGTGGGAACTGGAAGGAAGGGGGCAATGGGAACAAAAAGGGGGTGGAGGATCTGTAATATTCTCAGCAACAAAGCTTTAAAAAAGAAAACATTTTTTATTTTGTTTGTTTGTTTATTTATTATTTTTTGTTCATCCCATCCCACTATATTTTCCCATTGATTTTTAGAGAGAATGAAAGGGAGGGGGAGAGACAAAAATGGATGTAAGCCTGCAACTGAGGGACATGCCCTTGACAAGAGTCGAACTGGGGAACCTTCAGTTCACAGGCTGATGCTGTATGCACTGAGCCAAACAGGCTAGGGCAAAAGAAGAAAATCTCGAAAAAAGTAATTCAAGAGGGTGTTAGTTGCTCCCCTGGATGTCCCAAGAACACCTTCTACTTTTCCTCCCTATAGCACTTACTCTATGCTGTACCTACCTCTTTCCTAACCTGCACCCTCCACTAAGATAAAGAGTAAGAGCTGTGTCTATTGGTTTCCCAGTCATAACCATAATATCTAACTCAGTACCTGGCAGAGCACATTTGTTGAATGAATGTGTATACATGCATATTCTCTCTGCTACTGGTTTATAGGAACCTTAAGACCCACATTTAGCAAGTATGCCTTTTAGCACACGTTTCTTTTAGTGATTAAGTGAACTAAAAACTAAATCACACAAAAATTTTACAAAGAGCAACATTTTTACAAAGAAAAAAATTACTTCAAAAAATAATATTTATTCATTGAATTAGCAATTGAAGAAAAACAAATTTAAAGTTTCTTCCCATGCATGTTTATTTTCAATCTAGGTCCCAATGCACAAAAAAATAAATCCTCAGAAAACAACTTTGACTACAATATAAATGCCTCGGTTACTTTTTAAAGCAAATTGGATAAAAGTATAAAGACCTTACATAGGAATTTGAAACCCTAAATTCCCTAAGGAATTCCCTTGTTATCACGTTGTCCTTAGACTCAGGGTTTTTTTTTTTTTTTTTTTTTTTTTTTTCCTGAATTACCCACAGACAAATTCCATGTCTTATCTACCTTTCCTCTCCAACTTAATGCCTAGCACTGGTATGCAGCAAGCACTCAAATATTTCTGTTGGCTGAATAAAATAGAATAGGGATGATTATTCTTGATAGGCTCCATTGTAAACAAAGAAATCTGAAATATCAGTAAAATACCCATAACTAAGTATTTTATGCCAACCACATGGGAAACTTTTAGCATAGCCAGATGACCAGAAATGAACTCCAAGTTTTCTATTTTTGTATCAAATGGTGATTTCTGTTCTGGTCCCATTGTGACAAACCAACCTGACATAGGTACTATTTTAGTGAAAAGAAAGTTGTTGGAAGCGCATCAGGTCAGCCATGGACTTCAATCAGTGGGCATGGAGTGTTTAGACTTCTAACCCTGGAAGTCAATTCAGCTGCTCCAAAGTCAGTGGGTTCTGTGTCCAGGATCGTCTAGAGCATCTCATTCGGGATAAGAATAGAAATTGCCTCCCAAAGTTGAGGACTCATTTTGATCCAGCAACCTGTTATTACACTCGACTCATCCTAGACCAGGTGTCGGCAATCTACGGCTCCAGAGCCACATGTGGCTCTTTTGAAGCTTTACCGCGGCTCCGACAACTTGCAAGCCTGTGTGAAAATGAAGGTAATGTCTTACAGCCCTGATGTGCTGACACTGGGCACTGAGGTTCAGGAGCAAAAATCCCATTAACCAGATAAATTAAATATTTTAATTAGCTATTAATTTGCAAAAATATATTTTACATTGTTAACTGAAAAGTCCTTTTTTTCTTCAGATTGACAGCTAACTGCACGATCCCGTATATAGCATTAAGGTAAGAAACAATATATGCAGTGTTATATTTGTTTTAAATGTTCCCAGGTTTTGCGGCTCCCAGGTTTTTTTTCCTTCAGAAACGGGTCCAAGTGGCTCTTTATGTCTTAAAGGTTGCAGACCCCTGTCCTAGACCAATTCAAACTTCAAATACTGTTAATCAGAAGCAAACCTGAAATTATCCTGTTATAAAACTAATCCCTCCAGTTGAGTCAACTCATAACTGGAATATGAACACCAATGGTGAATGAAAAGGGATGTTCACGGGCACATTCATTCCAGTGGATCTGGTTTTGTTGGATGTAGCCCCCACTCAAACATGTACACTGGGCGTGAGGCATCTATTTGTAATTCTGCCGTGCTAGCCACATTTATCAAATCCCAAGCTTAATGAAACTGGCATGAATTTTCATCATTTTCCAGCAGATGTTGAAGTTTAATAGCTTTGTCCCTTTATTCCTGTTTATTTCTAAAACACTTATCACTATTCGAATTTGAGATTACATTTGCTGACAGTTTAATTCTTTGGTGGAAGGAGACTCGTTTTAATTGGTACCAAGTTTCCTGCTGTTTTCCTCTTTGTTATGGCAGGTCACCATGTCAAAAAAACAGGAAGACATCAAAGAATAGAATTAATACTAAATTAACCCCAAACGTTTGAGATTAATTGGAAACACTATCTTCTCACCACTGTGCCTTTTATGCACTCCTATTTTACTCTTCTTTATCCTAGAAGCTAGTAAACAAAGTTGGGCATGCCAAGCAACTTTTCTATGATTGGAAAAACTTTAGGAAATGTAAAAGGGTTAAGTGGTAAAAAATAAAAATGCCCTAATTAGGTTTTTAGACATGTTGCAAATAAAAATAAATTGTCTGTGTCCCTTATGCTTCAATTAATGGCAAGAAAAATAACTAGATGGTAGAAATAAATGAGAAAACCAGAGTTGACCAATTTGAAAAACTGATTCTACAGAGGACTCAAAATGTAATGAGGAGGAATATGTTGGAGAGTCCTGCTCAGTGCCAGGCAGTGGGATTGTTCACAAACTGTTCGATTTGTTTTGTTTTGTTTTGTTTGTGTGTGTTTTTGGTGTGTGTGTGTGTGTGTGTGTGTGTGTGTGTGTGTGTGTTTGTTTTTGTTTTTTAGAACATGGTCCAACCCGTTACCACCAAAATAAAAGAACATATGAAAATGTTCTGATCCACCTGAAGAGTGAGCTTTATCTATTCTGCTCATGCCGAGCTGGGTCACAAAGGTGTTCACAGTGATTTCCACAGCTGAACAGGGTGTGCGAGGTGGGAAAAAGCTGGTTCCTCCCCCTCGGGAAACACAGGCGTACAGAGCTGCCATCCTGACCCATCATTTAAGCTTTCTCCTGTCCCCTTAATCCAGACGCTAAAACCGCAGCCATGGTCAAAGCCAACCAAACGTGCTCACCTCTTGTCTCTTAAAACGCACTCCTCCTCATCCAGCAGCATACCTGAGGGACTGTGCAAAGCAAGATCTCACTTAAACTCTGTTGGTTATTCTGGATACACTTCAAATCATCTTACATCCAGTTTTCTGCACTCCAGCTTCAGGCCCGACTCTCCTTTGAAGGAGCGTTTCCGTGCCTGAAGTTTTCCTGTTTGTGTTAAAAGCAATCTCTTGTGGAATTAAGTGTATTATTCTAACTAGAAACTCATAAGATGGTGAATTTTTGCTTTAATTTTCTTATACAGTCACAGTATTAATTCCTGAGTTTTGAGATCCTACTGAAAATTACCTGGTCCCTCCTTCCTAGCAAAATTGGTGTAAATTTTTCAGTGGGCTTATAGAGTCCCATAAATTAATGCTTAGAATCCTTATCAGCTAAAGACTCTAGCTCTTCGACGTCATTTGAAAAGTTCAACCTGAATTGAAACTGTAAAAAAAATTTACACCAATACCTGTGTTTTAAGGTTTGGCTTATGTTTGTCTTTGCAAGACTGGCTGACAGTTTATTCTTTCTTCTTGAAAGCTAACTTTCTATTTTAAATTGCCTTGAAAATGGCATCGATTATTAAATCTATTTAAGGAGCTAATTTTCATTATGTTCATGAACTAGACTGGAGGACTTGTAGAGAAGTGGTAATATAAGAAATGACTGAAATAATAATTATTTTTTAAAACTGGAAAAATATCCTGCATTAGCACCAAAATACCAGGGAATAGTGCCAGCCAAGAGACAGAAAGTTTGAGGACTCTCTGGATATAACAAGTAGATGAATCCATACTGAGGGGCATCACTAAAAGTCTAGTCACAGCCCCTATTCCTAAGTCAGTTTCGAAATGCTGCAGAGAATAAGAAATGCCGGTGTGATTACCCAATGCCCCTTATTTTAGGTATGGCTTGCGGTAGACAGTGCAGACAGGAAAGAGGGGGACTTTATGACTGAACATCCCTTCCCCCTTCCCCCCACCCCAATCCCCTGCCCATGGCTAAGAGGAAACTAGAAACCCAGCAATGCTGTGGTATCTCCTCTGAGCTACATATTCCTTTGGCCAGCTTACCCTGACTAAGGAAAACTGTCTTCTTAACCAAAAGGCGCCCTCCTCACACAGAACAGCCAAAGCTAAAGGTGAGGGAGCCTCTGGAGAAAGAGGTATTTCTTATGTAACCAGAAGCTGCCAAAGGAAACACTGCTGGGGAATAAAGCCTGCATGATCTCCCCAAACTGAACAGCTGGAGGGGTGTGGGGTGGGGGTCCTTCTCTAGCCTGGCTTCTCACTCAGAGTCGGCTCCCTTTCCTCAGCTGGGAGGGTTCACTGCAGGAGGGGGCCCTCAAAAGGATTGAGTTCCTCCCCAACATAAACAATCAGAGAAAACCAAAGCATGCACCTGGACTAGAGGCTGCAGTAAGTAAAGGAGACATGGTGGCAGGAGGGTGGTGGTTGGGCTGCGAGGGAGAAGATGATGCCGGGATCTGATCTCTTAAGGAATATTTTCGAAAAACAGAAAAAATGTTTGCAGTGATAATGTTCCAAACGGTCCCCTAAAAGAATATGTTGAACAATCTAAGACGAGTCCTGCGTACTTGTATGGCAGCAGGTATGTCGGGCTTCCTTTTAAGGATGTGTAAGTAGGAGGAATTTCATCAAAATTGTCACCCAACAGACATCAACTATCCACAACAGCTTTCACATTTCCTACATTTATGTTCATCAGTACTACTGGAGTTAGGACATGGAATGCATCTCTAAAGTCTCCGAAACAGCCAACTGTGAAAGATGTAGTTTGTGTAGGAGACTTTAGGGAAAACAACTTAGTATCAAATGTTACTTATCCAAGTGCTTGTTACAATTGAGCATCTCTGAGGTTCAAGCTCAGAAAGTTCCAATGTCCACCCTCCACAGTCCTCTCCCCCCTGCCTCTCCCACAATGTGCTGTATCAATTTTAAGAAGGGGCAAGAGGGGACATAGAAAAAATAAGAGCTATAAAAAAGATCACAAAGTGACTTCATCCTTTTGAAGATTGTGATTTAGTGCCTACACTGTAACCAGACACTGTGCACAACGTCAGGTGTAAGAAGGTAAGATACAGCCTTGTCCTAGAGCAGAGGTTGGCAAACTGTGGCTCTCGAGCCACAGGCGGCTCTTTGGCTCCTTGAGTGTGGCTCTTCCACAAAATACCACAGCCTGGGTGAGTCTATTTTGAAGAAGCGGCGTTAGAAGTTTAAGTTTTAAAAATTTGGCTCTCAAGAGAAATTTCAATTGTTGTACTGTTGATATTTGGCTCTATTGACTAATAAGTTTGCCGACCACTGTCCCAGGGGTTTCAGAAAAGATGAGCACAGATGACTACAATAACGAGGCTGAGACAACTGAGCCACAAATATGAGGCTTCGCTGATGAGACACCCGAGCTGGGTTGTTTAAGGAAAAAGAGCGGCTAACCAGGAGAGGAACAGAAAATACAAAGGCTTAGATGACTGAAATAAGTTTTGTTCAAGACTTATGGGAGGAATAATTACATCCCAGAATGTGAGGGATAACAGAATGACAGGGAGGATGGAGAGTAATCAGGAGGCAGACAGGAATATCAAACACAGAGTTTAGTCTCCTTCCTGGGGGCCAATGGTTTTTCAACCTGAGTTCTTTACCTACAAAGGTCCAGAGTTGTGCAGGGCCACACTGGCTGACAAGAGGTAGGTAGCACCCCCAAACTGCACCCACCATCTCTGTATTGACCAGATAAACTCCATTTTAATTGTCAAAACTCTGCTTTGACAAAGTTTGACAAGGTCTTTCAGAAGGGGTGGGCATGAGCACGCTGGGGCACCTTAAATTGATCATCAGGAAAAAAACAAAGGAAGAACCGAAGTAGAACAATAAGGACATGATTAATTCATGGAAAAAGGAAATTCCAAAAGGGGAATGGTGTGGATTAGCTGATCTAATGAGTATGGGTGAGAAAGAAAGGTAAAAGTTCTTGCCCAATAATTTCAAGGATCTCAACAAAGTAGGAACCCAGCTGGCTGGGAGTGTTAAGGAAGGATGCTGTGTGTGTGTGTGAGTGTGTGTGTGTGTGTGTGAGTGTGTGTGTGTGTGTGTGTGTGTACATGCACACACACACATGTGTAAGTGTTAAGTGTGGAGGGAGAGTCAAGACCTTGGAAAGAGGGCCAAGGTTTTTGTTTTTGCTTTAAGTTTCCCTCCAAGACCCCCACTGAGATTCAAGGGCTTGATTTGAGAATTAGAAGTGTTTTATGCATATATAACATTACCTATATGATCACTTTTTCAGAAATCCATTACTTGTTCTTCTAATCTTTTCCACATAAAAAAGTTAAGATAGCACACTAATTTGACATTTTTAAGGGAAAGTATAGGCCAGAGTAACATATGTAGAGAAGGGTAAACATTTCTATGCCTTTATTTACATTGAAACTTGGAGAACATTATGCTAAGTGAAATAAACCAGTCAAAGAAAGACAGGTACCATATGATTTCACTCATATCTAATAAACAAAATAAACTAGCAAGCTGAACAGAGACAGACGCATAGATAAAGAGCAGGCTGACAGCTGTTGGGAGACTGGGGCGGGGGGGGGGGGGGGGACGTCGAGGGTGGAAGGATCGTGGGGCGGGGAAAAGAACCCATGAACATGGACAATACCGTGGTGACTGCTGGGGGAAAGGGAAGTTATAGGAAGGGAATAAGGGGAATAACAGGGGATAAATGGAGGTGGATGGAGATTAGACTTGGGGCGGTGAACACACGATACAGTGTAGAGATGATGTGTTGTAGAATTGTGCACCTGAAACCTTGTCATCCAAATGAATCGACTAAAAAATAAAATAACAAACATTATGGAACACTAAAAAATAAACTTATATAAGTATAATAGAAAAAGAAAAAAACACTTTCTTTCAGAATACAAAGTGTATTCCCCAAGACTCTCATTTCTGTTTTAAATATCCTGTGAGATCAGTGGAGGCAACTGATACTTCACCTTTCGATGGGGAAACTGAAACACAAGAATGGTGAAAATAACTTTCACAGGGTGTGTTCTATTTTAGCATGGCTTACGTGTTCCAAACTCCAAGTGTGTGTCATATGCAGATAGACATTGATACCAACAATGCTATAGTGCTATTTATATAGTGAATTTAGGAACTGCCAAAGTTCTCAGGAGAATCCCATGAGAGTGTCAACTGTCTTCCACAATTCAACCTCTTGGGACACAGAGTCTATGAGAACAATCTGGGACTTAAAATATACACAAGACACCACCACATATAACAAAAATTTTGTTTTTACACAGTGGAGTCATGATTTACAACATAATGTGGTATATAAAATGGAGAGAGTAAGGAAATGTATAAAGAATTATAAATGGAAAAGCATTTTCTCCCTTAAATACATTTATCCTACCTTGCTAGATAATTATATTTTATTTTAAAAAAGAAGACATTTATTAACAAGCAGATGGGTAGCAGAACAGTTTGAAGAGTACAGATTGAAGAACACTGCATTAGATGATTTTTATTTAAAATCCTATGACTCAGAAGATAAATTGATTAGCTTTGTTAGAATAATGACCATTGATTTCAAGATTGATCTTTAAGAAAGCAACATCTGTCCACTTATCTACTGATGGACCCTTGGGCTGCTTCCAATTCTTGGCTATCTTATATATAAAAAGGTGATATGTAAATTGACCCTCATACCCTCATAAAATGGCTGCCTATGACAAGGCTGGCAGGGGGGTTAATGAGGATGACCAAATGATTGAACAGCAGGCTTGCAGGGTGGTCAAGAGGGGTGACCAGGCTGGCAAGGGGGGCAGATGAGGGTGACCAGGCCAGCAGGGGGTCCATGAGGGGTGTCCAGGCGAGCAGGAGGGGGGCAGTTAGGGGCAACCAGGCAGGCAGGTGAGTGATTAGGAGCCAGTGGTCCAGGATTATGAGAGGAATGTCCAACTGCTGGTTTAGGCCAGATCCCCCGAAGCATCCT